CCCAGCTAATTTTTTGTATTTTTAGTAGAGACAGGGTTTCACCATGTTGACCAGGATGGTCTCGATCTCTTGACCTCGTGATCCACCCGCCTCGGCCTCCCAAAGTGCTGGAATTACAGGCTTGAGCCACCGCACCCGGCCTGTATCATTTTTTGAGTTTTAATTGTATGATTATGTTTTTCCCATGGATAAACCATGGGAATTCACTGAAGCAGAAGTGATACTGGATGAATGTTACAGTTATTACCATAGTCAGCTAAATAAATAAGAGAGAGGAAACAAACCATCTAGGAACTGTAAGAAATACAATCAGCCTGGGCACGGTGGCTCACGCCTATAATCCCAGCGCTTTAGGAGGCCAAGACAGGCAGATCACGAGGTCTGGAGATTGAGATCATCCTGCCTAACATGGTAAAACCCCACCTCTACTAAAAACTTAGCCAGGTGTGGTGGCACACACCCTAGTCCCAGCCACTTGGGAGGCTGAGGCAGGAGAGTCTCTTGAAGCTGGGAAGTGGAAGTTGCAGTGAGCCACAATCGCGTCAATGCACTCTAGCCTGAGTGACAGAGCAAGATCCTGTATCCCCCCCCCCCCAAAAAAAAAGGAAATACAATCAAAGTTTTGTTACAATGTGTAGAATATTGGTCATCTTGTGTTCATAATTTGCAAAATCTATTTTTAAAAAGGTGTGTGTGTGTGTGTGAGAGAGAGAGAGAGAAAGATAATCATATAGGTTAGGTTTGAAGTGCACATTTGGACCCTGTGCTTTTCCATCTCTATCAATAACTAAAGTGTGTTTGTAGAATTTCTACTGCAATTTCTTTCTTTGCATATGTAGAAGCTAACAAGACCTGTGTGTTTTTTGCTGATAAGTATCCACCATTTCAATAAATGCCCAGCTCAAAATGAACTTCCCTCAAAAATATATCTGGCTAATGTTTATAATTATAGAATATATTTGCTTTGGATTGTCGTGAAATAAACTAAAGGGTATTGCTCTCCTGAAAGAGGTATCTGAATGTGTTACCTATGTAACAAAACTGCACATCCTTCACATGTACCTCAGACTTAAAGTAAAAATATGTAATGCTAAAAAGGAAGTATCTGGATGTTTTCTTGTAATGGTCTTAATTTTTACTTTTATTTTTTATTTTCACTTACTTACCCTTTCTTTGTTTTTATTT